AAAACAGATTGTAAATAAACAGAATAATAAAAAAAACATTCTGTAAGTTCCCGACACACAAATAGTGTTGTTGCTTTTTCTCTTATTCGCAGCATATTACTTTTTAGTTCACTAATTGCAGCAAATTACGGCATACGGCACATTTCCATTTTTAAATACCGTCTTGTTCATTTTTAATGTGTACTTTTCTCTTAATTTTGAATGAAATAGTGATAATTTATAAAAATACGTAAATAACATCTGCAATTAAATGAATTATTGAAACAAATTGAAAAGTTATAATTGTTTAGAACCTGTCCTACGCCCTCAGTAATGATGCTAGAGATGTCTTTTATAATGCAATCTATTCCTGAATATTAAATAATTAATCGTTTCATGTACACTTTTTTGAAACTATGAGTTGTTTTCGCGTAATTTTGTTATTTTAGAATCACCGCAACATTATCATTTGAAAATTGTGTTTCCAAAAGCTACTAAATTCACTTTTACTAATGCTTTGATATGCTCACATTCTACATTGTAAATTCTCTTTCTGATATTTTTAAGAAAAAGATTCTGTATGAAATTTGAATTACAGTCCTAAAAATTCATGTATTTCCAAAATTTATTTTATCCACTAAATTCTATTTTTCAAAAGATACCATATTCAATTTTAAGGAATAAAATGATTAATAAAAATATTTTAATGTCTGTTTTAATTAAGGTCAGAAATGCATTTAATTACAATTAAATAAACGATATTCAAATTTGCAACAAAAAGTGCTTTATTCGATTGGAAATATAAAAGTTTATAATATTTGTTATATCAATACTTTGTTTTAGCTCTTTAAATGCTGTAAAAAATAACTGAATACTACTTAGAATTGAATACTAAACGGAATTGTGAATTCTTGGAAACCGCATGTTAAAGTTTCTGCCAGTGCTGGTGCTTTCTGCCAGCTACAGCTTGTGTCCCTTTATATGTGGCATTTTTGCTTCTTTTCACTAGAACTAGTGTTTCTTTTCTTAAAGTTATATAATCAACAAGATTTTACAAGTGAATGTGAGTACAAATGAAAATGATGTAGGGATAATTGGAACTTCTGTAGTGAAACACTACCACAAATCAGCTGCAGAAAGAATAGAAACCTACGTTGTGTCAGGCAAAAATCTGCTTAGAAACTGAAGTGGGAAGGTAGAAATAAAGGTTATAGTAGGAGAAATAAATGTGAAAACGAAAGTTGTAGTTTGGTTGAAGGTTGTAGAAACATTCAGATGCCCCGTTCTACAAAGCAAGCACCTTGAGTGATGAAGAAATCCGCATATTGAATGAGAAGAACTGGAATATGATATCTGTGATAGATACAAAAATAGTCAGCGTCATATTACCGTCGTACACGTCACAAGACGACGTGTACACAGTGATGCAGCACAGAGGATGACAAATAGCACGACATTTGTTGCTAAGGGTCAAGTACCCGTTCAAGAGGGCAAGTTCTCATACATGAGTATATTGTCTATTAACCGTAGGAAGATTGAAACTAGCAGCGTACTAAGCCAGATTACTAAGCCAGATGAAGGCATTATAGAACTAGTGGTGCTACAACTTCACATACTTTTTCGCATTTTTTTTCTAACCGTTCCCCTAAAAGTGCTTTGAACCACCAAAAATTACCGCACCGAGACTCAAACTCAGGCTCTCCGAGTAAACTCGCCGGCAGTCATACCACTACGCTATAGAAGCACTGTGTGGTTCGAGCCGATGCTTAAAAATGTAATTGATGCTTAAAAATGTAAATGAAAACTTTAATGAAAAAAAATTGGTATGGTTTTTGAAAAAAATATATTTTAGAAATTGCATAAATTTCAGTCACAAAATCTACTCTCTTTACCAAAAATGTCTATATTGCCTTTTTTAATGAGCTAATTTTTTAGAACAGAGTTTATTTCAGGATAAAATAATAAAGAAAAAATAAAAGCAGTTTTTGAGAAAAAAATGATTTAAAAACCTTTAATTGCCTATATTTCATCACAAATAAATATTAAATTTACCAACGAAGGTGGTAGGATTCTTGTCAAGTTTGAAAATGATATTTATTATTATCTTCTTTATGCTACCAGTTTGTAGATCGTTCTTTGGAATAATCAATTTTTGGAATTTCAGTAGAAGACTAATTAAATTCAGATGAATCAATGAAAAAAAACTCTCATTCTAATCATTGAAACTGCTGTTTCTTGGTGTGACCTCAGTGTCAAGACACTGGATTGCTGTAGTTATGTATCCTTTACTATCTCCACGAAATAATATCGACGCCGGGAAGGCCGCCTTCCCTAATGGGAAATTTTGCCCGTTTCCTTGAAAATCACATGTTAGAAAGTCTAATTTTATACTCAAATTACCATCAAAATACCAACACACGGTACATAATTTTATTCCTCTTTTCATGATCTATCCATTGCTGGTAAGAAAAATATATAGATCTATTTTTAAAAAATCAAAGGTTATTAAATTTCCTGAAAACTAAAAACATTATTTCTCTACGGCATGCTACTTGCCTCACATTTCCGCATTGTTCAGTGAAAACTGCATTTCGATATCCTGAACCGTCTAGAAGTTATGGGGGCGGTTCATAGTCGGTGGGATACCTTGTATTGAGCAGATTTGCCTTACTAATTCAGGCCTTGTTCTTCTTACTCTCCCGTTGTAACCTGCGCCTCGTAGGGCGTTTAAAACTATTTCTGAGGATACAGTACTCCCTGTTGTTGAAACCACCCACAGAGTCATTTTAACGACACTTTGGCGAAGATTCCTGCTGATCTTATTGACAATATTTATTTTATCCCGTTCGTTGAATATCGGATTTCGGCCTCAGCCATTTTTATTAATTAATTGGCATTGTACTTGAATTGGTCTCCCAAACCTTGAATAGTTGAATGAGGTCATCCCATTGTTATCGCAATACCTTGTAGTTATCTTTCCCTCGTGTATAAGTAATATTTGTAAAGTGTGTATAAAACATTATAAATTAATAAAAGTATAAAAATTAATTGAGAAAACAAATTCAATGCGGCAAATGAGTAGAAAAAATGGAGTTGACAAAAAGCCAAATATTTTTTATAATGATAATTCCTGTTGATAACGATATTGTGTTAAAGAAAAGTTTGTCTTCAATCTTGATGGAATATTTGTAATGAACTAAGCAGAAATATATTTTAAATCAAATACATTAAGTGAAATATTTTTACGTTTAAAATATAAGTTATTTTGTCACATTTTGCTTTAGTGCGCTTTCATACATGGATACGAATATTTTAACTATATAAGTAGTGCATGGGGCAATAAGATAATGTACATCGGCACAGTATGGCAATCCACAGCATGCCTTCCGATGTTCTTAAATGATAATATCTCAATTTTGGTGAAAATATTGTTTATCTTGTTATGACCTTGTTCAAATTTATGACGAGCTTGTGGCAGTAACAAGATTGGATACATTCCGATCAAAAGCGAGAAATTAATATTACCAAAAGTGGGAGGCCCAGGGTATGACATGTCTCGATACTGGTAATAATTGTGTGGGACAACAGTGCTCTATCTGCTACAATAAAGTTTTGTTGCTTTTTATGAAAACTTGTTTTCTATTTGTCGACTATCTAGGAAAACTTACTTTCTGGATGCGCATCAAAATTAGCTGAAAAAATTCGAACTGTACTTGAAGAAAACTGTAGGTCTGAAGAAAGTATAATTTTTGCTAGATTGAATTGTGATATTGTGGAGCATCATTCACAAAATAAGCTCTGAAAGGGGATAATAAAAGGTATTCTATAAATATATTAAAAGTAGAGCTTGTGTACATATCTGAAATTAACCTGGTCATTAGTATGTAGCTATAAAACCTGAGCATTTTCTCCTAATTAGGTTTTTACGACAATGATGGACACTAGTGATGTGAACAAACCAAATTTCAATAATCCTACAGTCTTAAGTAACGTGGCCAAATCCAAGAATTAAGAATAATGTGTTTGTGTGTGTGTGTGTGTGTGTGTGTGTGTGTGTGTGTGTGTGTGCTTTTTAGCGTTAAATTTCGCATACCTCAAAACACCTAGATGAAAGTATGTGAACAGGAATGCAAAGTGAATCTGAAGAAAATATATTACATTATTTAATTTTTTTGTCATGTTTCGCAATTGGAACCCACGACGATCCTTTTTTGTTTCCGCTCCGCTGACGGTGACCAGCTTACGTGATGCCCATCTGCATGATGTCTGGTCCACTCCTCACCAAGGACTACGTCAATCTCACCACGGAGGTTGCAGGCTGGGGAGTCTACGACATTGGTAAGCTCAACGCCAGCGTACCGCGAGAGACACGTTTTCTTATTTTTTCATTCATATGTTTCTGTTGTTTTTTCTCTCACCTCTTTAATCTACTCATCCCCCTTTGCACCCAGAAACTCACACTATAACGGTTACCTGTCTAGGTTATCCAGACTCATGTTGTTTCCTCTTTGGGTGAATATGTAATATGATTGGAGAAGGAATGATTCTAATAAATAGAACCTGTTAATTACTTTTTTAAGACAGAACACTGCATTACATAAAATTACATTTGAAAGCCACGTGTTTATGGTTTTAGAAGTAAAAATCTTGATGCTTTTTGCGTAGTTTACGAATTTTTCCTTATTCTACTATTTAATATTCTTTCTCCTTCCCTTTCTTTGTTTCACATCTTTACTCTTTCCTTTATAAATGTTTAATTTCTAGAAAACGTAATAAGGCAATTTTCAAGCCCTCTTCTCTCAAATCCGCTTTCGAATGACTTGCATTTGTGCACACCTCACTACTCATCGCTCTTGCTTTCCTGTTAACCCTCGTAGCTATACCGCACGCTGCTCGGTAGAATCTTCATAGTAGTAGCACAGCCGGGAAGTTGCTTCAATACTATGATTCTCTCTAAGCTCAATTTTCATACATATGTTGTTTTTTCTCCACCATATTTTATGTATCAACGCTTGTCCTAAAATGGTACGGCATTTCCAGACAATCGTCAATGACTTCCCGCGCTGGTTGCTTCGTGAACGCAGAGTGTATATAGCGACGCTGCCCCTTTCTCGCAGTTTCAAAATTGATTCACAAATTAAGTGGACTTACTACAAGTAGTCCAAAATGCAACTTAATTTAGTAATGTTCAAATACAAATCACTAATAAAATAACTTTCCACTACTTAAAACATTATTTTTTTCAACGTTGCACTTGTAACCACAATTGAAAGAACCAAACTATGTAAGTATCAGGATTCCTTTTCTAAAACAATAAACACGTTGCTTTGAAATGTAATTTTCTGTAATGAAGTGTTCTGCTTTTTCAAATGTAATTAACATTTTGCAGTGAGACAACCTAAATGCAAACTTCCAGTGATGACACATTGCCACAACTCTTACACGTGTTTCCTTTTCCAATTTCGAGCCCTTTTCTCAGCGTGTACCACGGCTCATTGCAGTACGGCTCTCTCCTACAATATTTCGAAGGCGTATTTTAAAAAACGAACCCTGTCAACAGACGTGCCCAAGCCGGCGATCGTCCTGCAGACCATCAAGCTGACGGTGGTGGAGAACGAGCGGTGCGCCAAATCGTTCAAGGAGCAGGCGGAGATCGGGCCGACGCAGATGTGCGTGGGCGGCGACGTGGGCTACGACTCGTGCAGCGGCGACAGCGGCGGCCCGCTCATGAAGGTGGAGGTGCACCAGGGGCCGCCGCGCTACTACCTGCTCGGCGTGGTGTCGTTCGGAGCCAAGCGCTGCGGCGCCACCACCATGCCTGGCGTCTACACACGCATCGTCTCGTTCATGACGTGGATCCTCGAGAACATGCATGAGTGAGCGTCGAGAGGAAATGGACGGAAAATGAAACGAGCGTACGGAACACGTCACCCGAATTTCATTTTGCTTTTAGGATGCGGATCCAAACGTTGAGTTCACGCTTATGAATCGTATTTTTCCGAGATAAAATTCTCTGAAGAAACGGTAGGGAAAATTTAATGTCAATCCTTCATTTTCAAGATTTCATAGCGTTTGTTTACAGTTCAAGAAAAACGTACTTTATCGAGAGCTTTTTACTGGGTCTGGGGAAAGGTGTGTAAAAAAAACTTTGTGAATTGTCGTACAGATGTTCAGATTTCTTTCTTGTTTGAACCCCTTTGATCCCGTTAAAAATCGATATGTTCTAAGAACAAGCAAGCGATATGTTCTAAAAGCAAGGAATACTAGAACGATTGTACTGAAATGTTTTTAAGGGCTAATTATCAATGTTCGCTATTCTTCTCACCTATTCCTTTCGAAAACTGTACATTATCCAGCATTTAGTTCATTGTTCCGCATTCGTGATATGTTCATCTCATAGAACAGTATCTCTCTTATCACAGCATCTCACGAGAAAGAATTAAACTGTGAAAAATGAATTACTAATGAAATCGTGAAAGGCTATGTTCATTTTCCCGCATTCTAATGTCATTCCCTCTCCATGGGAAAAGCTAAATTCGATGGAGCTTGGGAAGCAATGTTTGTCCACATCCAGACATCGGTTTACAATGCAATTACAATAGGTCACTCGTCTTGCCATCCGCTTACTTCAAGTTGGTCTCGAACCACTAACAGTTGGTACATCCTGTCTGTTTTATTTGAAGCTTTTGAGGATTGAGCATACTCTTTTATCTACTTTCTCGTGTCTCACCTCTCCTAGTACAAATGAAATGCATGCTTCACACGTAATTGCAGTATCTGGGGATTCTATTTCAGCGGTCCATGATCTACTACATGACGCAGTTAACCAGTGATATTTAGACGTTTACGTTCACAGGGTTAAGTCACATTGTTCAGAATCGCTAGAACTTTGATCTGCATCATCTTTCCTGATTATTATTCTTTTTAAATTGCCATTATGTTTCACATGAATAATCTGCTGATTAGTCAATTTTGGAATTCTTGGAAGATAAATTTCTTTAATAAATCTTGCGTACGTTGGCTGCGTTGCAAGCAGCATATTAAGAGCTTGTTTCGCTGGAATATGAAAAAAATAAATGGCAACAAGATTCAAAAGTAGAATTGAATGATATATTCAGAATCATTACTTCTAATTCTTAAGAGGAATGAAAGACCCCAAAGTAATACAATTTATGAAGTTGATGTGCTCAACAGCTCACATCAATAGTAGCAACGTAACGACAACACGAAACACATACCAATACCAATAAGCACTTATTTCCGCCTGCATGGTTCAAGTTAAAAGATTCTCCTCTTTATTGAAGTAAACAATTCTGTGTACACAATCGCCTAAAATTAACCAAAAAAACGAGTAAGAGCACCATTGCTGTATGTAAACGACAGAAATTTTATTTAATCTTAGCCTGCAGAAATGCGTTTTTTTCGTTCATCTAAATATAATACAACTCGTGTGATTATCATTCTTATGTTCATACAAATAAAACAACCAGCAGTGAACAACACTGATAAAATAAAATGGCTATAGTAAAATCAGTTTTCCAGGCTTCCACTCAATGAAGTGCCAGTCGGACCATCTTTAGCATCAAAATAAAATAATACACTTTAAATTTCGGTACCTATATTAATTATCAGTTTACAATGATGTACTTTATTCAATAAGTTATTAGAAATCCATGCAACTTTAAATTTCTTTCTGAAGAACTAAATTAGTTACTATTTTATAAAATCTCAAATCTCTTAAACAGGGCCACCGATAGACTTCATGGGTCCCTAGGCAAACTTTTATACATGCTCTTACCAACTGTCTCAGGGGTCTTTTTTATCACAAATATTGATTCAAACTTCAAAAACCACAATTGAATAGAGAAGAAAAATGTAGAGAGAGATTTTTTCCATGGGACCCATGCCATTTGTCAGGGTTGCTCCACTAATGGGCAGTCTTGCTTTAAAACACTGTTCGCTTGAATATTTCTCAATTTACGTCTTAGCTTTTCACAGCCTGGGATAACAAATAATAAAATTAGGGAAATAAAATTAAACAATATTCTTCCAATGAACAAAACAAAACCAATTAATAATTCTAAATGGATGAATTCTATTTGAATATCAAGGAGGAATGTGTGATTGAATAATGTCTATTCAACGTCCACAAACAACCTAACAATTTGTCAAAGTACGTTGCAATGCGTTGACGCGCGCTATCAAACGCTGATGACAGCTGCGTCAACGCGCATCGATGCCTGCGCATACGAGTCACTTAACGTGCGTCGTAGATTAACACTCTACCTTTGTGAAACGGCACACAAGCGCTCTTGGTGACGTACGTTGTTGCCAACGCGCGTTGAAAGCTCAAAAACGAGTTGAAAGCTCAAAAACGCGCGTTATCTTGACTTACGTTGTAGCTTGTGCATCTTGCTTGAGTTGTGGGTACAACGCACGTCACCAAGAGCGCTCGTGTGCCATTTCCCGTAAGACAGTGTTCGTCTACGACGCGCGTTAAGTGACGCGTAGACATCGATGCAGCTGACGTCACCAGCGATAAGTGACGCTCGTCATCGCAATGCTCGTGTGCAGGGGTCCTCAACGAACTCTTTCTATAAAGCCACGCCGCCATGTGACCATGTGCAACACGCTTCACGCTTTCCCGGTACCCGCATCTCAATGTTCAACTACCAATTATTAAAAAAGTATGCTTATGCGAGGATATACGGTAATATCTATCTCTAAGCCACAAGAAAATTAATATTAATTACAAACCATTTGATTGTCATTGTTGCAAAAATGATAATATATTTTGTCAAATATGTATTTATGTACAGAATACAAATTTAAGGTAGAAATGTAAATATCTACATAAATTAATACTAATTAATTGAATATTTTAAAATGTGAACTACAAAGAAACCTTAACAGCCATTGTTTGAAGTACTACCAAATCAATGAAAATAATTTTTGGTAGCATGATATGTGTTTAAATTTTGTATGGAAATTTGCCATTTTACAATATCGTTTTATTATTTTTTGCAAAAAGGAATTTAGACACAGTATTGAAATATAATTTGTGTTTCTTCTTATGAAAAACAGTCATATTAATCTACTAAACAAAGAAATATTGTCAATTACCGATTCAAAGTGTGGTGTACTAAATCATAGTTTTTCTACAAGAAGTTTGTTTTATCTCTCATAGGTGTTTTATTTAATTGAAAACAACTATCCACACTCCCGTTGTAATCTTCAAATGTAAATATGTAATCAGTGTAGGATGAAAATGTATAATTTCAGCCACATGTATTATATTTATTCAGTACTATACACAATGTGAGAGGAATATTGAAATCTACTTTCCCTACCAATAGTAAATAAGATGAACAGTTACACTGTGGATTAAAATCTTGAAGTCCAAATATATTACAATTTCTATGTTTTTTTCTGATACCTCATCTACTTTTTCTCATTGTCACAATAGTGAATCCTCTTAGTAATTTGTAAATGAAATTAAACAATGTTTCGTTTCATTTTATATGTTGAGATAAAACATTAATGTAATGACTGAGAACAATATGAAGAAACTCTTTGTAATATTATTTTTTCAGTTTTCTCCAAATCATTTGAAAGATTTCATTATCATGAAGATTTTGAAAGCCATGTGTAATGGTCTCATCTACACAACTCCAACATAAAAGGTACAAAGTCCATAAATGTGTATCATTGCAATCAAAAATTTTACATGGTGTAGGAAATAAACTGTTTGGAACTCTACTGATAATATGATTCTTGTAGTCATTATTTTGTATAATAAGCACACTTAAAAGTTGGCATTGACACTAGAAACGGTTTGAAAGTGAAAAACAAGTTGCAACTTTTCTTGGAATTTTCTTCCCCACAGGAATATTTCAATGTTAACAACTGATTAATTACATGCCAGAATATACTTGCTTTTGAACATGAGCCAAAATCCTGAATTAATTTAGGGTAGAATCATGTATCATGAGTTCCATGACTATCTACACCTCAAGAGGGACAAAGTGAATTTTTGAAGTATTCAATAAGATTTTCCCCCCAATTGAGTGTACTATATACTTTTAAAATCTATAAAAATAGTACCTAATAAGAAAGCTTTTGTGTAAGTAAAAATTAGTTCAATAGTTTATACAAAAAATATTTTGTCATATGTTTCTTATACTCCATTCTGAAAATAAACATATGAATTAAAGATAAACTTTTAATAAATACTATGCGACAAACAATTCTTTTCCTATTTCTATTATCTCCAATCTGTTTTACTTCAGATCTATTACTGCCTTTAACGGATACCAGAAGTGGCTGCTCTTTAAGGACTATTTGGCGGTGCCATAAAATGAATAGGGAAAATAGTTGCAGAAAGTACTAAACTTACACTAAATCGACTCGTTAAATTGTACATAGTGATGGGCACATTAAGGGCAACCAAGATGTTTTATTCAATGTATAATTGTTTATATTCACAATTGAAAATTCATTGTTGGTAAATGAATTACTACACAGAGTGTGTACATTTATGTAGCTAGTAAGTTAAAATGTTGAACATTATACTTCACATTTTATAAAATATGAAAGTAAAATAAGGCAGATACTATATAGATCTAATACTAGATCTTTATCTTAACACGCAACCATGATGTCTGGAAACACCACCTCTTGTTTTGGTAATTTGGCAACGCATAAAATACCTTTGGCATACCTTTCACTTTTAGCCACCCACGGCCACATGCCTTCAGATTTCATAGTGTGAGAATGTGGCTAATTTTAGTAGGAAGAAAAAATAAGCACTTATTCTGTCCTTGTTAGTTTTCAACGTACTGCAGCCACTACAATGATAGGAGTAAACGCCTGTCTCTTGGCAAATGGCACTTTGAGCAGTTACTGGACGGTCAGTTTTTTTGTCACGTTAAGGAAATTATATTTTGTTATTTTTTATTAATTGTTTTCAATAATTATTAATTTACTACTGATTTATGTTTTATTGTTTTTTAATAACTTTATTAAGGCTTTCTTATTTACTTAATAATTATATTAAATAATAATACATTATTATAAATAATGAAGAGCTGTGTAATAATAATGTTTCACGAGATATCTTTCTGATTTCTCTGAGCCGGCTTTCATTAAACAATAATTATTGTTACATCGGTGTTAATAAATTGATGAACAGTCATAACTTCCCTCCACATCTCCAGTATTACAGGTTTTTTCTTATGCATACTGGACTGAATCACCTAAAGAAATGTTTTGTTTCTTGTTCATGTCTCTGCTCACCCCTTCCCACCCCACCCACTCTGTGCGACGCGAAATGCTTCCGGTGTGTGAGCCGCATACCTGCCCGCCTAAGCTCTTGAACGGGAAAACACAGAAATAGGAAAGTTGCTGCAGCTTATGACCTGACGGTGGCATTCTCAGCTGTCTCAACGCGCGAGGCACGGCTGTCTTGAAAGATGGCAAAACACGCGGTTGCCAAAGTGCCAAAACAAGGCACTGGGTTGCGAAATAAGCTAAAGATTAGTGAAGGGCACTTTCAAGGCTATCGTGGGCACTCCGTAATATAGTCATGGGCACTCACAAAAATGGATTTAAAAAGCCCAACGACCTCAAACAGCATTGTTGAACGCAATTGACTTGTTATTGCTGGTTTATTAAGCTTCAGCCATTTAATAAGTCTAAACATTTTACACAAAAAATATATTCATCGTCTGAATCACTTTCCCCTTCAGAATCTTCTGAGAAAAGGCATGATTTGCGAAATACCTTTTGACAAAATAGACGTAGAGCGAGGCGTAGAGCGAGACAAAGACAAAGACGCAGTGCAAGATGTAGTGCAAGACAAAGAACAAGACGTACAGCAAGATGAGGAAAAAGACGTAGTTCAAGACGAAGAGCAAGACAAAGAGCACAACGTAGAACAAGACGTAGAGCAAGACGCAGAGCAAGACATAGAGAAAGACGAAGAGAAAACATAAACGTTGCGAAAGACGTAGATAGACGTAGGAAACATCGCAGACGTAAAGAAAGTCGTTGACGTAAATAGAGACGTAGAGAAAGACGTAGGGAATTACGTATGGAAAGATGTAGGGGAAGAGGTAGGGAAAGACGTAAAGGAAGACGTAGAAGAAGATTCGGAGGAAGTACCAGAAGATGACGCAGAAGACAAGAAGTTTTAGAAGACAAAGAATACGAGAGTAGAAAAACGAAGAATTTCCTTTCACGGAAAATATAAAAAAGTGAAGGGCTTACTGAGTTCCTGGCCGTGTGGGCACGTTTCCGAGAAGAGAATAGCGGTGTCGTTGATCCGGTCGCTGCGTCTGGGCTGCGGGAATGAGCGTTATGTCTTCAATGAATATCAAGAAGACGATAAATTTTATATGATAAATCAGGATATGCAAAGTGATCCGAGGTGCCTTATATAAATGCTCGTTTGTCGACAACGTCGTGTGGTTTTCAAATTGATTTTAAATCAATTTACTTCGAGAATCAAATTAAAAACAGAAAAAAATCGAAATAACTCTTGACGAAGTCAATTTTATGAAACAATTACATTACCGAATTTCTAGAAAGCTAAAGGTATAAATCGTTCTCAGTATCACAAAAGAATCGCAAAATTTAAGTGGTTAGTTCGCAACGCTAACAAAACATCTAAACTGAATAAAAAGAACTCTGAACCGAAGAAAGAAAAAAAGAAATGTCAAACAACCAAAGAAAGTTAAAAGCGTCGCCACCTGATCTGGAAAAGGTCTATGACGGTGCTCCTAGATGTAACATTTGATCAGCAATGAGAAGACTGAATGTTCCAGAAAAATGAATTAATTTGGTTAAAAAAGTATACCAGAATACTGAAGCGTGCATCAAAATAGGGAGGAAAATTGCCCAAAGTATTAAAACTAACAAAGGGGTAAAACAAAGAGGGTGTGGTTTATTGTCACTTCTCTTTAATAGATACATCGAACAAGTTTTGGAAACTTGGTACAAGAAATGTTCTCAAATGAGAGTTCTCGTAATTGGAAGGTGCCTACATTCTCTACTGTTTGCAAATGATCAGGCCATTACGGCATCAGATCCGGAAGATATGG